GCCAGGGGTGGAAACCAAGTGACAGAGGCTCCAGTTCCCTAAATCAGGCCTCCCCACGCCTGCGCCTTCTCTGCCCATCACCCCACATTCTGTGCTCCCGCTGAGTGAAGCTACATGAATGGGCCCCGTTCTTGGCCGACCTGAGCCTCTGGACGTGTGGGTCCCCTGCCTGGAGTGCCCGCTGGCCCTTTTTTCACCATGTTCTTCCCCTGTCTGTGAGATGGCACCCCTGTCACGTCATCCCTTTGACCTGGTCCCCAGCACAGGGCACAAGAGGGGCTCCCCTGATGCTGATCAGATGAGAGAGACTGGAAGGGTACCCCGCCAGTCATGGGGGCTGCGCTCAGGGCACCCGGTGCTTCACGTGCCTTCATCTCCACACCCCCAGCACTGGGCCTGGCGTGGAGCCTGTTGTCTGAAGAGTGTTGAGCTTTCTTAGGTCTGTACTTGGGGAAGAACGGTGACCAGGAGGAACTAGGTAGCTGGAGTGACCTTTATACACGTGACCCATGACCTCTGGGGGTTATGCCCACAGGAGAAGGACTAGTGGACTCAGCACAGGCCCCCCGCCAGTGGGGTGCCCTGAGACAGGCCTGTGGGCCTCCTGCATTGGGCTCCTTCTCGCCTTAATCAGGCCCTTTGAGGCTCACGTGGGCACCGTGTTTGGAAGCCACACATCTGTGGGCCCTTTTGGTATTTGCACCACCCAGGAATGTGGTCCTAAGGGTGACAGCTCCAGTCCAGGAAGGTGCAGGCTGGCTCTCCGCTGGCCTCCGTGGTGTGACGTCAGCCATTCATTGGGTCTTAAAGCCGCCTGGCCTTCTGTCTCTCTCAAACCGTAGCTGAAACGCTCCCGTGAGACTGAGGTCCAGCTGAAGCCCCTGGTGGAGAAGAACAAGCGAATGAACAAGAAGAATGAGGATTTGCTGCAGAGCATCCAGAGGATGGAGGAGAAAATCAAGAACCTCACGAGGGAGAACGTGGNTTATCTGTTTACTTTTGCACAAAAGCTTACCTGTTTCTAAGTTTAAAAATAATGAACACGGATTTCTGCTTAAAAAGTAAATCTCTAGGAAAAAAATAGCAATTTCTTGAGTATGTTTAAATTTTCTAGGTAAACAACTACTCTGATTTTTATGTAGTGGTAGTCAGTTCATAAACTTCTTGACAAATGCCCCATAACACCTCTGTTTGTTCTAAATTTTATTGTGAAAGTATGTGTATCTATATGATATTTGAAAAATATGGGAGATGAAAAGTGTTAAGTGTCACCTCTTCACAATTTTAACAAGATCAAAATAAATTCATTTCCTGCCAGTATTTTTAAAGGAATATTTTTATATAGCTATAATGAGACTGTACATTTAATATTATATTTCCACTTTCACTTAAGTATTCGTGAGCTAAAAAAATTCCTCATAAGCTGCATAATAGTTTTTTAAGTGGATTAGAAAAAAATTACAGGCTGCTTGAAACAATTCATACCGCACTGAAGTATTTAAAGTAAAAGTTGATAAGCTTGTCAATGCCTCCGTCTTAAAATCACGCGGTTACTGCTGTCAGCCTTTGAGGTTTTTCTTCCGTGTTTTTAATGCTAATGTGAACATGTTGGCACCACCAAGAGTTTTTGCTTTGTATTTTGGTTACAAAATGGGATGGGATTCCCCCTCCCCACCCCCGTTTTGTTCTGCAACTTTTTTCACTTGCTGCACCAGTCATAGCACTCCCATCAATGCATAAAGATCTACGTTTGTCTTTTTAATGGCTGCGTTGTACTCCATTGTGTGGGCATGTCATGCTTATGCAGCCACTCCTCTGCTGGTGGAAGCCAGGCTGTTTCAGGCTTCTTTGCTGTTCCAAACGATGCCACACAGAAGATGCACTCCTGTTGTTACTCACTTGAGCCTTTCTCCCAGTGGGGTAGATTTCAAGAGATAGAATGTGTGGGTGAAAGGTACATTTTATATTTCAGTGGGCACCATCGGAGTGTTTTGTCTTCACTTTCACAGCCTGGTGACTGAAATCAGGGGTCTGCACTCAGTCCCTGTGTTCGATTCTCGGTTTTAGCACTTTCTGTG